ATTTTTATCTTTGATGGTGTCTGCCAGACCCATCGCATCAAGATGAATTTCAGCATCAAGCACCCAAGACATGTAGCTTTTGCCCGATATATCCAGGGCTACAAATTCAAGTTTAGAAAGATTTGACATTATTTAGGAAAAAAAAGTTCTTACCTCAGATACTCTCAAAATATTTGCTCGAGATGGCAGAGTATCGTGCTGATAACGTGTTATAAAATAAAGACTATAAAGTAAAGACAAGTATAGAGAGAAATTGATATATTATTCGATTCAAACTGATGTACATAATGAACTGAAATCTCTTCTATTTATAAAAGAAAAGAAGCTGCTGTGTAAGCTGCTACTATACCAGATATGAATAATCTTCTACTGAGAGCAATGTTTATCCATAACGGAGTACTGAAAGGATAAGCTTATTATACCCGATATGGATAATCTTCTACCGGGGATAATGTTTATCCATAACTGGGTACTGAAATGATAAGCTTATTATACCCGGTATGGATAATCTTCTACCGGGGATAATGTTTATCCATAACTGGGTACTGAAATGATAAGCTTATTATACCCGGTATGGATAATCTTCTACCGGGGATAATGTTTATCCATAACTGGGTACTGAAATGATAAGCTTATTATACCCGGTATGGATAATCTTCTACCGGGGGTAATGTTTATCCATAACCGGGTATCGAAGTGAGGAAGCTTATTTCCAATAAAGTACTTAAATAGATAAACATATTTACGGTGGAGTCCCATATGGATAAGATTCTTCAAGAAACTTATTTATAACGGAATACTAAATGAACATCCATAATATAATATATTTATAACAAAAAAAGGTATTCCATGGTGCCGAGACATCAAAGAAATCAGCTCTGTGAAAGCTTTCTTCCATCTTTCTCACATTTTGCACTTCGTATAAATATACATATGCTCCTGGCATCAATCTTTTAAACTTCAAAGCTGTTCCAAATCGGGAAATTCAGGTAAGAATTAAAGAATTAATCCGTGTTTTCCTTTACAGTTCATAAGTATTTCTTTCTGCAAGTCAAAGAAGGGCATGCGTTTTCACTATGTCGTAAAACGTACAACTATTCATTGTTTGGAGTCACATCTGATTTTGTTACAATTTTTGGCCAATTTTTCTTTCATATTTTTTGTAGGTTCCGAATATTATGTTTCTTTTATCCGTATGTTTCTCAGTTTTCTGATCGATTAACGGTTAGATCAAACATATGCTCTATCTGACCCAATTTATGTAATGAAATTTGCTGATTACAGAAATTAAGAAAGGAAGAAACACTTTTGAAACTTAAGGTAAAAAACAAGCCTTCGGTATTAGTGTAACTATTAATCGAAAATAGAAAGTCTAAACTTAAATTATTTCTTAATATAAAGATGTTGGGGCTGAAAGAATAGTACAATTCATATTGGTTTGTTTTAAATCATCTCATTAAAGGTGAAAAAAGTTAAATTTAAATAATTTCTAAATATAGAAGTGTACACATAAATGTGACAAAGGGAGTAGTACTCCTCAAAGTAGCTTCAACAACTTCATCAAGTCTGGTTATCAATTACCATTTTTATCAGGTTATCAATTGATGTTTATTAAGAAATTTACGTGATAATTGATGTATAAATATTTTCTACAGTATTTAATTTTTTCAATGAGATACGCCAGCCCTACGATCCCACATATGTTCAACTTGGTGAACTTTCTTCTAGTGATTTAGTGAAGTTCTGATGCTAGAGTTCCATTTTCCTTTGCAATTTCCAGCTCAGGGACTATCTCCAAAACAAGAGAAATCACGTGCAGAGAAATATGTCGCTCGATCCTACTGACATCCGAGAGTGGGTGCAATCGCATTTGCCCAAAAATGATGCTTTGGGCTTTTCCAATTTCCTTCTAGACAGCTTGAAGGAGCTCTTGTCTTGCCATTCTGGTTCACTTGCATCTGTAAAAGACCAACTTGAAGTGGTATGTGCGGAGCTTCAGTCTTTCCAACCGTTTGTCAAGGGTGTAGCAGAACAAGGCAATAATGCACGTGACGAAATTATTCACAATTTTGCTGAAAGAGTCATTGATATGGGATATGAGGTTGAGTATATAATTGATTCTTTTGTAGTTGGAGACGTTCCTCATACTTATCTTACAGAGTGGCTCTCAGAAATCATACGGGAGATTAAGCTTATTAAAACAGAGTTGTACATATATAGGGAAAACCCCACTGCTAGAAACAAAGAACTGGTGGTTTTTGAGGATGTTAGGAACACTATAATAAATCGACTATTTAGAGGACCACGAGAGCTGGACGTTGTTTCTGTTGGGAATAAACCCCTTACCAAAATAATATTCACGGTAATAAAGCGGAATAATAATGTAGCACCGAGATACGGTAATTAACAAGAATAAAAGAGTAACAATGACACCAAAATTTTTACGTGGAAAACCCTTCTGAATAAGGGAAAAAACCACGACCCCGAGAGGAGCAACTGATATCACTATAGTAAGGAATTTTACACTTTGTAGGTCGGAGGTAAATACTCCAAAGACCACTACAACACTCAAAAGAAATAACCCTCTTTTGATATTCTCACCTCACTACAATATCGTTCACTCTCTATTTTCCTCACAGACTATTTTCTTATACCTTGTCTGTGAAACCTCACTCTTTCTTTCTCTCTTTGTTGGTGTGTAGAAATGAGAGTTGAAGCTCTCCTTTTATAGCCAAAGCTTCACCCTCTAAAGCCTACAATATTTGACAATTTACACACACTTTTCACAATTCAACAAAGTTGGCTACCAAACCAAAGAAATTCAACAAGGTTGGCTACCAAACCAAACTAATTCAACAAGGTTGGCTACCAACCAAACCAAGTCAACAAGGTTGGCTACCAAACCAAAGAAAACTCTTATTAGGCACATGCCTAATACTTCTTCAATGAGATGGACATCATCAGTTTCCATCGTTGGTTCGGCCGGATCTGGTAAAACAACCTTTGCCCGAAGTTTTCAAGAAGATTGGGGAATTCTTTCTCATTTTGATTTCTGGGCAGAGTGTCGTGTTTCACAAGAATACACGCGTAAAGACTTGCTACTTTCCATTTTGGGTTATGCTAATTATGAGCCTACCGAGCTTAGTAAGAAAGATGATTATGAATTAGCTGATAGACTAAGAAAAATTTTATTGACAAAGAGATATCTTTTAATTATTGATGATGTGTGGGAAGTAAAAGCATGGGCCGATTTAAAATTGTGCTTTCCAAACCAGAAATGGTAGCAGAATCATTCTGACCACCAGATTTCGAGATGTCGCTCTTTATGCTAGTCAAAATGTTACTAAACCCCATCATTTACGTTCTTTGACCTTGCCTGAAAGCTGGATCTTATTACAGAAGAAGGTATTTGGGAAAGAAATCTGCCCCGAAGAACTAAGTAAATTAGGGAAAAGAATAGCAAAATTGTGTAAAGGGGTACCACTTTCCATAGTTCTAGTGGCTGGTCTTCTTGCAAAGACGAATAGTACCAGAAAATGCTGGAAGCAAATGGAATCACTTTTTGGAGAACGAATCCAAGCTGATACGGAGGCATTAGCAAAACTAAGTTACAATGATTTACCTGATATACTGAAACCATTACTTCTGTATTTTGGAGCAATTTTTGAGGACAAGGAGATTTCAGTCTCAAAATTAACAAGCTTATGGATCGCCGAAGGATTCATAGAAAGTGATAAGGAGATGTGTCTGGAGGACATTGCAGAACATTACTTAGAGGATATGATTGGAAGAAACCTCGTCACAGTGACTAAGAGATAAAGCAGAAAGATAAAAGCTTGTCGTCTGCAAAACCTAGTGCTCAAGTTCTGCAAGGCAAAAACCGAAGTAGATAATTCTTACTGTGTCTAAAAAGGTATATACCCCTTCTATGTTTCTCTAACTTCTAATTAATTTAGACTTCCGCTATTGTTCCTCATTCTACTTAAATTTTTCATTGCCAGGGATTACGATGCCAATCCTCCACATCTTTTTTCTGAAAAGCCTTCCCACCGCCGCTTATCATTTTGTTCTAATCAGGATGCTCTTGCTGGGTGGAGGCCATCATGCTCACATGCTCGTTCAGTATTATTCAGGGAGGTCAGTGATAATACATGTTCTTCAATGGGACATGCCTCTATCATCTTTGGCAGCTTCAAGTTTCTTAGGGTGTTGGATTTGGAGTTCGTGGTTGTAGATTCTTTTTCCACTGAACTTAATCATCTAAGGTACCTTGCTGTTCAAACTACTCAGAGTTCTATCCCATCATCTATTGAAAATCTTTACAATCTTCAGACCTTCATAATCAAAAGAACTGGAGGAAAGCAGGTACATTTGCCAGATACTTTGTGGAGGCTGATTAATTTGAGACATATAAGCATCAGTTACCGAGCTTTGTTTAACTTGCACGATGCACAAGAATCCCTTGATGAGAGCCCCTCAAAACTTTACGATTTGGCTACACTTTCCTCACCATATGTTTCCAGTGCGGAAGATATGGAGATGATAGTGAGAAAAGTACCCAATCTTCGAAAGCTAAAATGTGAATTTGCGGATTCATGGGGTTGGGAAAAGAATGAAAATGGATTCCCTGTATTAGACTCCTTACATCGACTTGAAACGCTAAGGGTTCACTTCTTCAATTTTCCAAAAGTAGGTCCTTCAAGATTAAATTTCCCATTGAATCTCAAGAAACTGACTGTAACACTTCTCAAATTTATAATAAAAAAAAAATCGAAATACGCTATTTATAGAATTAAATTATTATTATAATTTTTTTCTTGCCTATAGTGAAAACATATAGATATATACACTTAAGTAGTTGGATGTACAATTAGGAGAATATTAATAATTTTGTTATTATTAAATATTAAAAGTATATATAAGTTAATACTAGTTGAGTTAAAACCAAAAAAAAAAAAAAAAAAAAAAAAAAAGGAAAACGTGAAAACAAGTCCTAACCCATAAAGGGTTATGGACTGCAAAAGAAATAAAAAGGTTTTAGGACTAAGAAACAGAATACGCTGAAACGTTAAGTTAAAAAAAGGGCCCTCGTTCACGCACAAACGCAGAATCGTAAGACAAAGTCTTGTTGCTCAGTACTCCCGCAGGCAACGCGAAGTTTAGGTTTCTTTACAAGTCACTAATTCTTGAACTCAGGTATGTAAAATCCCTATTATCAATTACCCTACAGTAGTAACAGGTAAGATTGAATAGCTAATTCCCTTCTTCCTCTATATCATCAATAAAGTTCATAATTAGGTGTAGTACTTGAAAATTAATTAAAATACACTGGTTGTTGTAGAATCAATTGTTTGACGGATATAAATTGGATTGGAGTCTACGTATTGGCTCGAGAAGTTTTGAGGTGAGTTGACATAACCCTTTACTAAAGTGGTTTAACTCACAAAAGCACACATACAAGGTGTTTGATGAATTGCTTAAAAGAGTTTATCTTTATTTAATTAGAGCGAGTGAGTACCCATTAATTTAGAATTGTTCTAGCAAAAGTTTAGATGATCTATTATGCTATATGTGCTTAAATTTTCAGATTTTTGTGTTATTCTTATATGCTATTTTCATGTTGAAGATTATGAAGAAGAAAGAGTCTTTAGAAATATTTTTATATGTTTATTTCATTCTTATGTCTTGCTTTACATTTAAGGGCACCAATATGAGCATGTACATAATGTTCTATAAAGAAAAGATTTAGACTTGAAAAAGTCACAAGGAAGAAGTTTTAGAAAGAAAAGATTTTTGGGGAGTATCCGTTATTCTGAGAAGGGGTCATCGTCCAGGCCGAGGGTCCTGACCAAGGCGTTGACTTCCTGAAACTACTTGTGCCAAAGTAGGGAGCACATGAGCCGAGGGTCTCGTTGCTGAGAATTTACTTAGCCATGCTAAGGTATGATACATGAGCGCTGAGAACCATGAAGCGAGTGGCACCTCGTGGATTGGGCCTATTCGATCAGGTTGGGATCGAACCCGTGCCGATCACACGGTGACTGAGACAGAATTAAGTCAGGATAGTTGGAACTCCCAAAGTATAAAGTGAAGTAATTTTTTGTTCAAAGAAAGAAAAAGGAAAAGAATTTCTTTTAGAATATTCATAAATTGCTATTATGCAATTATTTTAGAATTATTCTTATAAGCTTTATGTTTTACATGCATTTCGAACCTTTACTCGTAATGTATATGTTATTAAAGTTTCTCCCCCTGCTGTTGAAACTCACTGAGTACATTGGATGATACTGACATTCTCTTTTGGGAACCTACGTTGGTCTGCGGTACAACGTAGGAACCGGATTTGCAGGCGAGCAGGCTACGAGTTAGGACTTCCTTCCCTTCCAGTGATATTGGTGAGCTCCGCTTTTGTTCGTGGAGTATTCTTAGAGTCATTTTCATTTAGCTATTTCTTTGTTTATCTAGAGAACTGACTAGGAAATCTCATGTCCTGAGCAGTGCGTCAGTTTATCAGTAGAGGCTTCATAGACATAGTCATTGGGTTGAGATTCAGATATTATTTTATAATAACTTAGCAGTAATTCAGTAGTTACTACGAATAAAGCTTTGGAGTTGATTTATTTAAATATTTGAATTAATCAAAAGTATTTAGTTATAGTATTGTTTTTTGCATATAAAGTTTGGAGTTATAATAGGTATGATAAGCAGAGATGGTTCGCTCGGTCATGTTTAGTGATCGAGTGCCGGTCTCGGCTTGTTCAGAAAATGGGTCACATTATGCAAATTTTATCTGCCGCCTGCTGAAATTTCAATCATTGCCAAACTTGTCAACCTTGAGATACTTAAACTGCAACAAGTTGTTTTTGAAAGGGAGGAATGGGAAGTGGCAGATGAAGAGTTCCCTAAGCTCAAGTTGTTGAAGCTAGAAAATCTCAAACTCTCACAATGGAGAGCATCTGATGAAGCCTTTCAGAACCTTAGGCGATTGGTTGTAACAAGATGTTTAAAACTCGAAGCAATCCCTTATTGCTTTGAGGACATTCCTTATTTGGAATACATTGAAGTAAAATCATGCAGTGAAGATGTCATCAACTCAGCCAGGGATATCACAGAAATGCGAGTTGATATGGGTTTGGATTATTGTGACTTTAAAGTTTTTACTTAGCATTGGAATAATGCTTCAGTTTCTTTGCAGTCCGATTACAGGTACAATCTTAAGCAAATACTGGCATTTATATTGCTCACTTATACTCCCTTGATTATATTTCTTTTAGTGACTAGCTCATTTATTTATTTAAATTGCTTTCACTTTAATTAGTTGTCCTTGAAAACTCTTTCAAATAAACTTTCTTTACACGCATCCAGTTCTTGTTTATGGTGATTAATTGTTATATACCTCTTACTTCGTTCTTTCTTCTTTCTTTAATGATCTTATGTTCTTTTCAATTTTTTTTCCTTTGTTTGATTAGTGCAGCTATTCTTTGTCGCAGGGTGCTCCTTGGCGTAGTCATTGCTGATTTGTGTTACTTGGTTTTTCCGCTCCTTGTTGTACTCCAGGGACCATGGCAATATTAGTTTTATGTTTTTTTTTAAATAAATAATTAAGTTCTTTCTTAAATTCAAATGTATCTATTGGTGCAACATTGTTGAATTGCCATGATATTTTATCACTGTCACGACTCAACTCCCACCAGAGCCGTGACGACGCCTAACACTACTTGTCAGACAAGCCAACAATCACATAATAACTAGGCATTTAGATAAACATGATTTAGTAAACTTAACCACTGGAGAAACCCAACGGGTGGCTAAAATAAGAAAAGTGAAAGTAATTAAAAAAGGAGAATTTCCTTTAACAAAATAAAAGAGGGATATTTAGAAAACTTACGAGTGTAGTTCCAGGATTCAAGAATAGAAGAAGCCGACGCCGGTAAAATATCCTTGGAAGCGACGACAACAAACTCCTCCATCCAGCCACGGTTGATATCATCATCAACACTGGTGACAATGACATGGTGACCACGTTTGCTGAGTTTGATCATGCCTCCACGGAAAACTTAGGGGCATAGAGATTGATCATATGAGCAAGAGTAATGGTTTCACCAGCCTGAGAATACAAGAATCGAAGACAAGCCATCTTTCGCCATATTGACGATCCTACTTGAGCTACGAAAACTTGGTAGTTCTGACAAAACTCCAAGATGATGGGATCAATTTCCTTGCCAAGCCCTAAAGTGAAAGGACACGTGTAAACGTACATGTACCCTGGTTTACTAAAACTAATTCTTTCCACTTCATTAGGGGTTGAAACCTCAATATTGCTCCAGCCACAATCCTCTTTTATAACAGGAATGTTGGCCAGACGAATAGAAGAGATGTATTTACCAACTCTATTTCAGTCATTTTCATGATGAGAGGATTCCTTTCGAATATGGAGATCCGTCTTGCAACATAACTGTGAAGGGATGATCGTGTCAATAGAGGGGGGATTGGCATCGGGTTTCTTAGATTTGCTCTTTTTTTGATGGGTTGCCACTGATGTAAGTGCATGTGTAACCGGAGGAAGAGATACCGGAAGACATGGTGACGGAAAATATGAATTTGAAAGTTTTACTGAGAAAGGGAGAGTTGCAAAAAAGCTTTAAGAAACTCGAATAATAAAGGTTTGTAAAATTGAAAGATAAAAGTGATAAGAAGAGGAGAAGTTTATAGGCAGCAAAATGCAAGGCCATCATTACCTAGGTAACTAGCGAAAATATTTGTCGAATCACGGGATAACACATGTTCAGCTCACTAAATGCAAAAAGACTTACGTCTTTTCAAGTGTTAGAAACCGTTCGGAACTTTCCCGACAAGAAAAGAAGTCTTTATCTACTTCCTGGTTACATCAAGTTTAGTCACCGAAAAATAGGGGGACTATCGGTATGGGATAAAATTAACGAATGACCGGTGGACATTTGTCAAGTTGACATGTAGCAGTTAAGATAGGTGGGATATGAGTCAGCAAATAGCTGGTACCGGTGACAAGCATGTGATTGGTATTATGGGAGTTCCGAAGACACAGGAACCGGAGACGAAAGTTTGAAAGTAAGATACCGGTTGAAGAAGGCAGCATTCAAGGAGCGACCGTTATAAGGAATCTTAGCATTTATACTCAACCGTAATGCAGTTATCACGAAGGGTCTTTATTCACATTAAAAAGGAGCTTGATTTGGCGATCTTGTCTCTCTTAATTTAGCTATAAATAGAAAAAATTGTACTCATTGAAGGGACACATAATACTTGTATGAAAATAGGCTAAACTTATTCTCTTATTCTATTAATATTATTTTGCCAAGCACTTTCGTATTTATATTGTTCTTGCTACTGGAGAAGCATAATTCGAGGCCCAAGCTCGTCTCTTCTTCAATTGTTTCTTATTTTATGCAATATTGTTTTTTACTATTTTATTTTTTCTGATCAATTTAATTCACGTGTCTATAAATCACGTTATAAATTCAATTGTATCACTTTACGAGTAAACAACCATATCTAACATTCTCTAGTATTTTCATTGATTTGATTCATTATTCATTAGCAGGCTTGCCTTATTATCTTCGGGATTGTACGTCGTTCTATCATTGCAGCCTCTTGAGGCCTACTTTCAACAAATCTTTTATCATTTTCGATTTCACTCTCTAAAAAAAATTATCTTTGGTTAGTTCTTACCGTTTCTTCATAATTTTGCAAGATTAGTGAGAGAAGTTACTCTTGCGTTGAGTGTATACAGTAAAATCGGAGGCTCAAATTTTCGATCATTACGACGCTTCGTAAGCACGTTGTCAAAGGCTCGAGGCTACGATCGAGACTCACACCCGAGGGGCTATCGACGCCCGACCTTGGGCAGTACACATCGATGGTTATGGCGAAAAATTGGGAAGTTCCCAAGGCGCGTAGCTAGAGCTGGCAAAGCCTAGTGGGCTAGTTCAGACCCGAATCAAGGCTTCAAATGGCTTTACCAACCCCATATCTTTGTAATAAATATATTTGTATTATGTTGGGATTTTCCCTCATATATAAAGGGGATCCTTGTCATTTTGTAAGGGACCTGATGCTCAATATTAAATATACAAGAACATTCTCTCTGCTCTCTAACATATTCTATTGATCTCATTGCTTTCATTTATTGCTTATATTCATTATGTTTTATTTCTTGTTCTTCATTTATTGCTTATTATTGGCTATAAAGAGCCGTCATTGATTTTCTCATAACTGTTATTCATCCATTGACTACCCTCAGCAGGACATCAACTCGACCTCGAGGCCCTGAATAAGCAAGCTCGAGGCCCCGATTATCAGCCATTCGGTTTGGTTATCACCTTGTTTTCAAGCTCTTATCTTGTTTCCAAGTCTTTCACTTAGAATCAATTGCCTAACAACTAGCATAAAAATGGATCACATATTTTTAGAACCATAAAATCAAATCTAATTGTAATTACCATTTTCAAGGTAAACAGTTTGGCGCCCACTCTCGGGCTAAAAATAATAGTGATTATTTTCTTGCTGGTTTTACTACATAATGCAAATTATCTTTCACGCTTTTTCTTGTCCAAGATCTTTTAATTTCAGGTTAAAATGTCTAACTCAGTAAATACACGTGAAAACAACAACCTTGAAGACCATGGAGAAAATGGTTTGGATGTTCCAGGTGTTGGTGTACCACCACGAAACCCTGAGAATGACCAGAACCAATTCCCGTGGACGTGGTCTCGCGCAATGCCCAGCATGCCGAAATAATCTCCCACACCAATAGGATCATACACCAAGAAGATCAACAAGAAGCTTAAAAAACCGCGGCTCAGGAAGAACAAGGGGTTAGCCTTCACGTCATCTTTAAAATGTTGCAAGCACAACAACTGGCGATTACTCAATTGCAAAGCCACCAAAAGACTCCCAGCACAGTAGCTCGGGAAATGGCTCCTCGAGCTGAGCAGGTACCAGAAAGATCAAGCAACAACGGGTCGGCATCCGACCCCGCCAACATAAAGATGCTTGAGGACCTCACAAAGAGGATCGAGTCGGGCGAGAAGAAGATGGAAGTCAATGACAAGAAGGTAGAGAACTACAATTCTAGGGTCGATCAAATTCCGGGCGCACCCCCGATTCTGAAAGGTGTAGATTTGAAGAAGTTTGTACAAAAGTCATTCCCACAAGAAGCGGCCCCAAAACCTATGGCAAAGAAGTTTAGAATGCCTGACCTTCCGAAGTACAACGGAACCGTGGACCCCAACGAACACGTCACTACTTACATTTGTGCAGTGAAGGGAAACGACCTAAAGGATGACGAGATCGAGTCCGTCCTACTGAAAAAGTTCGGAGAGACGCTTTCAAAAGGGGCAATGATGTGGTACCACAACCTGGCCCCAAACTCGATAGATTCATTTACCATGCTGGCAAATTCTCTCATAAAGGCATATGTTGGTGCCATCAAAGTAGCTACAAGGAAATCCGACGTCTTCAAAATCAAGCAAAGGGAGAACGAGATGGTGCGAGAATTCATATCTCGCTTTCAAATGTAACAAATGGAACTACCACCGATCTCCGATGATTGGGCGGTGCAGGCCTTCACTCAAGGTTTGAACGAGTAGAGCTCGGTAGCTTCGAAGTAGCTGAAGTAGAACTTAGTCGAATATCCCGCCGTAACTTGGTTGGACGTCCACAACCGATACCAATCAAAGATCAAGGTCGAAGACGACTAACTAGGAGCCCCCTCAGGCTCGGTATATCCTACCAGGATTCCGACAAAGGAGTCAAAGCAGAATAAAGAGAGATACCAACCATACACTGAAGACAGAAGAAACGCCCTAGGCGCAATATACCCCGCAATAACCGGAGGATGGACCGAAGCTAGAATTCTCGGGGACTTATTAACAGATCTAGATTTGATAGGCACACAGGGCCGACAGAGGTGCCCCGCTTGTCGAAATACAACTTCAACATTGGCGTTTCAGACATCGTACACGCTATCAGTAAAATCAGAGACACCAGGTGGCCAAGGCCTATACAATCAGATCCTTCGCAAAGAAACCATAACTTAGTGTGTGAATTTCACAACACGCACGACCACAAGACCGAGGACTGCGGCAACTCCAGGAAGAAGTAGCCTGACTACTCAGCAAAGGTCACCTCCGAGAATTCCTCAAGGATCGGGCCAAAAATCAGTTCCGGGAAAGAGAGACGACCAAGAAGAATGAAATAAATGAGCCACAACATGTCATCCATATGATCTTAGGAGGCATCGATGCTCCACAAGAACCCATGATCAGAAGAACAAAAATATCCATCACCAGAGAAAAGCGAACTCGGGGTTACATACCCGAGGATGCTCTCACATTCAGCGATGAGGACATCGAGACCTTGTCTCAGACTCACAACGATGCACTGGTAATCTCTTTCCTTGTAAATACATTTCAAATTAAACGTGTACTTGTGGATCCATGTAGCTCATCCAATATTATCAGGTCGAGGGTGGTAGAGCATCTCGGACTGCTTGACCAAATCGTTCCCGCCTCTCGAGTCCTTAACGCA